CATTATGTGTGAGATACTTAAGGAGCAGTTTGACCAGATCTCTGAGTCCTAGTCTTATCTCTCTAGCCACTATACCTTACAGGCCCTTCTTTGTGCCCTCTTACATTCTCATATGTCATTTCGTCATCCTGTGGAAGCTTTAAACAAAACGAAAAATTCTGGTGAGCCATGTGCCAGGGCAGCACATGGGCCAGTGGCATGTACAGAAACTGGGGTGGTAGTGGGGACCCTTTTGGGGGCAGATCAGATAAACTGCACCCCTTCCCTCCCCAGCAGCCATGCTGTTTTGCATTGTTGCCAAACTGTATGTGCACGATTGCATTCTTTGCTGCTGCTTTTTGCAGGTGAAATTGCTGTGGACATCCACACCAGGATGGTCAGTTGTTGCGCTGGACGAATCCACAGGGGCAGAAAGCTCTTCATCTTCTTTTGCATTTATTTTTTTAAATGTTTCCAGAGTGACATAGTGCTTATCTGGTACAGAACTAACTTTGCCAAGCATGTTTAAAACAAAAAAAGAAAATTTGTTTCGAGGAGGAGACACAACAGGTCCTCAGTTGAGGGGGAAACTGAGACAATAGCAGGCCCACCTCTGCACATTGGGTGATCTCCCATGCCAGAAAGTTGATAAAAATGATGTGGAGCAAAATAAACTGCCTACCAATTGCTGAACAAAAAGAGACAATTCCCCAATGAAAAAGATTGGGCTCTCCCATGCATAGCTTTACACTGTGTGCTCTTTTGTGTTGGTTTTATCCATGCCAAACTGACACCAACTGCCTAATAAATAGCAGGTTTTCCTTTTGATGGTGAATCCTGCTATCGTTTGCATAGGTTCTGCTTAACCTCCTGCTAATTGTGGCTAACTGACAAGGTGCTGGGACGCGTCTTGTTTGTATAACCAGGCAGGCACATGACCAGTTGTAGGAGTGAGACGTGCCCTGGCACCACATGAGTTAGCCACAGTTAGCTGCAATGAGTTACATAAGCACCGATTTTGGCTGCAGCCAATGTCCTTTTGCTTTGTACCCGTTCCTATGCATTGGCAGCTCATTGCAGATGACACGTATCAAAAGAACAGGTCCTGAGCTGTTCCCCCCCAACTTTGATGCCTTTGGTGGCTACCCACTATACTCACCCCTAAAACTGGCTCTGATGATCTATCACACTATTGCTGCTGGATCAGGGAGAGTGTGAATAGAAAGTAACCTTGCTTATTTATATTCAGAGTTTTTATTCCACCTGGCAAGCTCCAGAGTTAATCCCCTTGTGTTCATTTCATTCAGAGAACGACACGGCTGCTCTCTTGGACCTTGGCAACCTTATGAAAATGGGAGTGAAAATCGCAGACTTGGGAAGTGCATGCTGGACGGTGAGTCTGTGCCAGTATTTACCCCTTTAAGTGCTCCCCTGATTCCCTCAAACTGCTCCTGCTACCATGTTATGTTCGTATTGAGCTTTCCACTCGAATGTGCCCTTGAGAGCCCAATGTAAGGAATGGATTACCTTTGAGGCCAGAATGACACGAGCGAACCCCAAAAGAAAAGTAGCTGCAATTTAAGGTGTGGTATTTTATGTACGCAGACTTACTGATGCAGATCCAAACCTAATCCAACCTTACTAAACATAGTCCCTTCAGATGGATGATGGGTGTTGTAGTCTAACGCATGGTGGGGAGCGGTATCAGGTTGGTGAAGAATAATCTGCCCTACTTAACTGGGGGACAGTCAGCAGCATCCTTCTGGAGAGACAATGAAGATGATGTTCTGAACACGCAAGCAGCCCTTCTGCTGTTGTCCAAAGACCCACAGAACGGATGTTTTCCTTTTCTGGACTAATAATAACAATTGCATACCGTCAAATTGTTTCTAACTTATGGCCACTCTTTTCAAGGGTTTCCAGGTAGAGAACACTTGGAAGTGGTTTACCATTCCCTTCTTCTGGGGGGTATTCTGGGACTGTGCAGCTTGCCCAAGGCCATCTAGGCTGGCTCTACTCCTAGGAGGCACAGTGGGGAATCGAACTCCCAACCTCTGGTTCCGTAGCCAGATACATAAACGGCTGAGCTACAACTTCCAAAATGTCTAGGATATGGCCTTCTGTAAAATTCCTAAGCAAATACTTATCTATTCCTGCAAGCCTGCCTGAAAAGGGTCTCTATAAATCAGAATTGACTCAACAGCACATTATTATATGATATCGATCCGAGCCTAGCATGTCCCAAGCACTTCAGTCCCAATTTGATCTCTGTACCTTATATACTAAAAGCCACATCTAGTAACCTACCCTCAGTTTGTTTATCCATGCTTACTTTCTTATGTTTTAGTACAAGCCCTTCTCGAAAAAGATCCAGACTCAGCCCTACAGAGCTCTGGAAGTGCTTCTTGGATTAGATTATAGCACCCCAGCTGACATTTGGAGCACAGCATGCATGGTAAGGAGGTGCTACTCCACCGTTTGTGAGGATAATGACACTCGCCTTTTGGAATTTCAAGCATCTCTGTTTACGGTAGAACCTGGAAGACCGGAAATGCCTTACCAATGGACCACTAGTCGTGACCTTACTGTAGTTTTATTGTAGTTTTGTCTGTATTATTTATATGCTGCCTTTCTCCCCCATAGGAAACTCAAGACAGCTCATAACAATTAAAATTCTACAACAGGTTTAAACCACTGTACAGAAACTACTGTCTATTAAAAAAAAGAAAACATTCATCAACATTAAAAATGAGATTTAAAAACAATTTTAAAAGCATTTTTTAAAAAATCTTAAAACATTGAAATTGGATCAGTATACACCCACTTATTGCTTAAAGGCCTGCCTGAAAAAGGAAGGTTTTTTTTGCCTGATGCAGGAAAGACGGAGGGGGGCAAGCCTGAGAGCAGCCACTGAGAAGCTGCTGGAGATAAGAAAGGGCAGCCAGAGTTATGAACAGACCACAAACGAGGACCTCACTAGAATCAGCCGGCAGAGTTTTGCTGAACTCACACATATACGTACTTGCCAAGCTCCTGATGCTTGATCTTGAGGTTCCTCTTCCTCTGTCCCTCTTATTTTCCTTGTCTTGAATACAGACAAGTAAAACAGCTGCTTTAGTATATATAAGCATTCTGATCCAACTGCTAAATGTATGCTAAAAGCTATTCCTAAGGATAATTCATGTTGCTAAGCTTTAAGGATGAAGAACAGATAAAATAATTATATGCCGTACATTCTAAACCAGGCATCTCTCACTTAGCCTATGGACAAAGCGAGTAGTTAATGAAAATGAACCCTAAACTGCTGTGAAGATAGTTCTGTTCTAAAGACTGTTTGTAAGACCATGCAGCCATTCTCAGCTGCCCCCTTTTTTGGGGGGTTGGGGGCATAGACAAAAACACATTATGAAAGAAATAAAGGCCAGATCAGTACCCTGGGGTTCCTTTGCTAGGACCCTTAATCATTAAATACATTCAAAAATAGTTATTGGGTGCATTGTTTAGACAAAGTTCTTTGGCAATGACAACCAGGCTTTGAGTAAAGCCATTCCTCCTGATTTAGTCTCCTGTGCAGGATCAGGGCCTAAATCTCCACCTATTTTAGATCTGTCTCATAGTGGGCTCTTTAGAATGGGCTTTCGTTATACAGTATAATCATTTTGCCTTATTCAAGGGAAGCACGGTCATAAAGTATCATATTTTATTTGCGACCCTACTTCGTTTTCTAAATGCTACTTCCATATTCATCTAGAGGAGCCTCGTGTCGTGGCACAGTGGATAAACTGCATTTCTGCAGCCAAGACCTGAGTTCAATCCCAATGGGCACAGATAACATCTCCTGTGCAGGATCAGGGCCTAAATCTCAGGATAGCTCCACTTATTTTAGATCTGTCTCATAGTGGGCTCTTTAGAATGGGCTTTCGTTATACAGTATAATCATTTTGCCTTATTCAAGGGAAGCACGGTCATAAAGTATCATATTTTATTTGCGACCCTACTTCGTTTTCTAAATGCTACTTCCATATTCATCTAGAGGAGCCTCGTGTCGTGGCACAGTGGATAAACTGCATTTCTGCAGCCAAGACCTGAGTTCAATCCCAATGGGCACAGATAACAGACTCAAGGCTGACTCAGCCTTCCATCCTTCTGAGGCTGGTAAATTGAGTACCCAGCTTGTGGAGGAGGAGGGGGACAATGTATAGCCTGCATAATTTAAAAATTGTAAACCTCCCAGAGAATGCTTTAAGTGCTGTGGGGCGCTATATAATTAGCACACTTTATAAAAGCAACACAATATTATTTTTCTAAAGAAAACAGGTTAAAGAAGGAAAAATCAAAGAGCATAAAAGAACCAATAACTTTTGGTGTTTGTTTGCAAATGTCCAGTGGATTTACCAATGGCAAGACCTATAGAACTTGCTTATGATATAGAAATTCTGCTTCCAGCTACTGTGAACTCAGGTTACTAAGTGGACTAGTTCTCATCTCACTGCAGGGCTCTGCAAAGAAAAGCATGGATGAGTGGTTTCCACCAATTGGTTCTCCAGATGTTTGGAAGGACATTCCACTCCCGGAAGTCCCAGCCCGTTTCTGGAGTGGAAGACATTGATAAGCATGAGACTACACTTCTCCATTCAACAACACCGGGATTAGGGACACCAGGCCCCCGTATAGTTCAAAATCCATGAACTTTTATGCCCCCCAAAATGTAACTGCAAAGCATAAATAGTTGATTCTCTCTCTCCCACACACAGAGACTGGCGAAACGTTAGGAGGAACAACCTTCAGAACACGGCCGAAGAGCCCAAAAAACCCACAACAACAATTACACTGTATGCCAATGAAAATACAATTGAATAATTAAAAGCAAACGAACATTAAAATGATCGTAACTCTAAGAAGGCAATCAGGGATTCCGGTCTCCAAGTGGAAATAACCAATGCAAACCTACATCATGGGTCTTATGATCTTGCGTGAAAACAGCCCAGTCAACCCAAAACATTGCCCTGCAGTCAAAGACCAGCCTTAAGATGATCAATAGTACCTGGTCTTCTAGAAACACAATGTCCTCACCCTTTCGATGCCTACTTCTCAAACTATGAGGTCCCTGAGGTTCACACAATCTCTTTAGAATGCAGATCTCATTACAGGCGAACATGTGTACATCTTTGTGTCACAAGCTACCTCAGAAGTTGGGGGTGCAATGTGTCAGTCTCATTTCCATGTGGATATAATGACTGAACTGGCCCAGACTCAAGGCTGTTTCCTATTGTAGGTTTTTGAACTGGCAACCGGAGAGCGTCTTTTCGAGCCCCACGCTGGACAATATTTCTCCAGAGACGAGGGTAGGACACAACTGTGAATCGCCATCTGTAACATTGTGTTATAAGTGTAGCTTCTAGGGGAACAATAGCTTGGTGGTAGAGCACACACTTGTGCATGCAGAAGGGTGAAGGTTCATTCCAAAGCACTTCCAGGTAAAGTTAGCTAAGAATCCCGCTTGAAATTCTGACTAGTGGCTGCCAGTCAGTATTGGCCATATTGGGCTAGATGAACCAATGGTCTAATTGGTAAAGATGGCATCCTATGTTCCTTGTTTTGTACTCATTGCAGATCATGTGGCTCGGATCATTGAGCTTCTGGGGAGAATCCCACCCAAAATAGCTCTGTTCTGGAAAGAGAAGTCAACCTTCTTCAACAGCCAAGGTGAAAATATAGGAATGGAGTTGGTAAAAATGTCCCAATCCCTCCCACTTCTGGCATCTGCAGAGGCAAAAGGTTGCCTGATAAGCACTTCACACCACCTTCCCCTTGGCACAAGTCCAATATTACCTTTGACACCACCAGTCTGGTGTTGTTGTAGAAGGACAAATAATCCCCTTGGCACAAGTCCAATATTACCTTTTACATCACCAGTCTGGTGTGGTTGTAGAAGGACAAATAAGTGCAACCTTGTAATCGGGTGGAATTTCAGAGGTTTTGGACTCATGTTGCAGCTGTTTCTTTCTGCTCTGCTTGGCAGGTGCTCTATTGCGGATGTCCTGGATCTCCTTCTATGACCTCTATCACATCCTCACTGACAAACACAGCTGGCCAGCGCATCAGGCAGCTGTGTTTACTAATTTCCTCCTGCCAATGTTGGAATATGCCCCGGAAAGAAGGGCACCAGCTGAGAAATCCCTTCAGCATCCTTGGCTCAGTACCCAGTAAGCTGCTTGGCCAAAGCTTCCCACCCTCTACTAGTTCCAGCAGTGATTCAGAAACTGAGATGTTGTCAAGCTGGGTCAAACTAGCTCTGACATTAATTTTGTTGGGTCAAACTAGCTCTGACATTAATTGCATGGATTAATTTAGCATCAAAGTTTTGTTACATATATATTATGTCCAAAAGGAAGCAAAGCAGGTGTGTGCATGTGTTTAATTCAGTGGTTCCCAACCTTGGGTCCCCAGATGTTCTTGGACTAAAACTTTCAGAAGCCTTCGCCGCTATCTGTGCTGGCCAGGATTTCTGGGAGTTGTAGTCCAAGATAATAAGATCTGGGGACCTAAGGTTGGGAACCATTGGTCTAACTCTTTCTCTCCCTTCCATACACTTGAGAAGAATCATTCCTCCTGAGCTGCTATTTCTGATTTAAGAGATCCTCTAATTGGTGCCAAGGGAATCTCTTCTGGAGACGCAAATCAGAGCTTTGGGACACTGGCCATAAGGACTGAAAGTAATAAATCCTCCCTCGCAAACTTGTGTGGCACCAGGAAGATGGTCCAGCTGATGTTTTTGGGATGCAACTCCCTCACTATTGATGAGGCTGGCTAGAAATGACAAGAGTTTTAAACAAAATAACAGTTAGCAAGAAACCCCAACAATAATATCTAGAAGGTGGAAGTTGCTTTGTATTGGCTGCTTCAGGCTTCATAAACAGGTGCTATTTATCTTGGAGTGAGGGAAACAGATGTGTGGGATCTACCTCTTTGAACTCCAAGATTTACTTACCATAGGTTGGGGCAAGGGGACTAAAAACTGAAAGGCAATATTTGACTGTGGAAAAACTGTATGCAGGAAGGCAATTGCACAAGGGATTTTTCACATTCCCAAGCTACTAGTTGCACATCCGGGCACAGGACCTGTCACATGAATGGTTGTGCCACCAAGGAAGATGAAGGACATGACAAAGAGCAGACAACTGCATATGTGATTCCCCTTGGAGGATTATGTAAAGCAATAAGATTCTGCCCAGTGAATTTGAAGCCCAGGAATTTATTCCGAGTACCAGAATGGAACAGTCTTTTCACACGGAAATCCATTCCTAGTTACTCTGAATTATCTTCATTTCAGTAGTATCATTTAGGATCATCTTGCTGCTAGTTTTAGATCATTGGGAATAAGAAATACCTGCTCATTTACTGAAAATCATGTAGAGATCTGCTACTAGATCCTGATTTGTCTATTGCTCATCTCTGACTGGTATAACAAAATGCACCACAGCTGATTTGTTTGCACAGTTAATGTAATTGCTAGTATTTCTGTACCTATTAATTTTGCATGATTTGTGTAAAAATTTTTATCATACCTCATACTTGCTCCCAGCCACTGATCTGACTACTGTGTTTCCCTGAAAATAAGACAGGTCTTATATTAATTTTTGCTCCAAAAAACACATTAGGGCTTATTTTCAGGGGATGTTTTATTTTTTTCATGAACAACAATCTACATTTATTCAAATACTGTACAGTCATGTCATTGCTGCACAATGGTGGAGGGCAGGGTTTCACTTAACTAGCTATGGCTTATTTAGGTCTTATTTTCTGGGAAACAGGGTAGTACTGTATCCTAGTTCTGGCTTTCTTAATGTTAAATTAGTATCTCATGAAACAAGGACGGATTTTACCATTATGTCCTTTTCATTTGTCTGGATAAGCATTTTGTCATAGCGGTTCCCCCACAATATATTCAAAAGCTATTTTGTTCTAATTTGAGTCTTTTTGCTTTGAATGTAATTACCTCCATTTGTTTATCACCACATCTGTCCCAATAGACACCATTTATTATTTTCTTTCTTTCTTGGCTTACTTCATGATTTCACACATATGTCTTAAAATCTCCTCCCGACTTGTGATTTTGACCTACCTCGTCAGCCAGGTTATTTTGTTTGAAAGCTTGCAAGATATTTCCAGGTAGAAATTCCCATAATTCCCACCACTGGCAAAGCTGACTATGGCTAACTGGAGCTGTGCACCAAAAGCTTCTGATGAGTCTATTGGTGGAATTTTAGATGAATTGCTTTTAGTTAGCAGAGTGTAAAGTATAAAACAGCCAGCTGCAGCAGAGGAGAAACATGAAAGAATAGCTAAATATCTCAGCTTTTGCTCTCACAGTGACCGCAGACCTTTGAATATAAAAATCAATCTACCACTAGCTTAAGAAGAAAAAGTATCTTTACTTACAGTTGTGGAACTTCAGTTACAATAAAAAATTTACCCTAAGGATAAAGATAGGATTGCTCAACCATCTGGGGGAGGAAGATTCATGAGACCACATAGCAGGAGAGGACAGAAAGCAGAATTTGTGTGTCTGCTCAGGTCAAATGAGAAGGAGTGAGTGAGTAAACAAAACAACAGGAGCAAATAAAAACAGGAAAAGGGAGTGGGGGCAAGACCAAGTACTTTGCTAATAGGTTAGTGGCAAAGCATAATTATGTTAGGCTGGGATGCCCCATTTTCACTGAAACCCAGTGTTAGATTGCATGCAATATGGTTATTTTCTCCAAGAGACTCACCATTGCTCTCCCCTGCAGTTGGCTTCCCCAGCCTCTGGCACTGTCCGATCGGCCTGGAGGGTAGAACCCAGTATTCCTGATCTTTGACCATGTGAGATAGGACTATGGTGGAGGGGATGAAGCCCAAAAACCTGGAGGCCTCCAGGTTGGAAAAGACTGCTGTAAAGGAATGCATTTAACCTGATGAGGATGGTTTTAAGGGTGGAAGTGAGAGAGACTACAACCATCTTACGTTGTTGTTGTTTAGTCGTGTCCGACTCTTTGTGACCCCATGGACCAGAGCACGCCAGGCCCTCCTGATTTCCCCTGCCTCCCAGAGTTTGGTCAGATTCATGTTGGTCCTGGCTGTCAAGGCTCTTTCCAGTTTGAATTTCCAATATTGTGAACTGGATTAATAAGTGAGCCACTTCACAATATTGGCAAATCGAACACTTCCTCTGTGGAGGGGCATGGGAAGGAAAGTTTGATGTGCTGCATTTTAGCTATAAAAAAAGCTTTTACAAAGTTTTTTGCTGTGGACAGTTCCTTGACTAGCCCTTTAAAGATATATATATAACTGATACAGCGCATCAGCACTGGTCTACTTCCATCTAACAACTAATCACTTCCCTGCACGGATTAAGTTCGTAAGTCGAGACCCCACTGTATATAACTGATACAGCGCATCAGCCCTGGTCTACTTCCATCTAACAACTAATCACTTCCCTGCCCCTCTGCCAAGAAGCAGAGGAAGTGTTCAGTTGGCTGATCTCCTGAAGTGGCTTGCTTATTAAGTCACTTCATGGTATTGGAAATTTAAACTGGAAGGAGCTGGACTAAATAAGTTTGCTTGCTCCAATATATCATTTGGTTGCTTGAAGCACACCAAATAGCACACCACACCTCTAACTGACCCCAGACAATCCTATTTATCCCATATCAGCCTGCTCCCCCCAAAAAAAATCCCTCTGATTGCACCCTCACTTAATGCTGAATTAAAGGCCCTCTGCACATGCACATAATTGAAATTGCTTTCAGAATTGGGCGGTAGTAATAATTTAACTTCCAGGGCTGAGCCCCAGTCTATCTTAGATGCCAAAGTCAGGAGGGCTTGAAAAAACAGCCTTATGCTGAACAGTGATCCATTGTAGTCTGTGAATGTAAGGTACAGGAAACTACTCTTGTGGAGTAAAATCCCCAGATTGCTACAACCACCCACCAACTCCCCATTACTGTATTTGGAAGCTGCAGTCCAAAAAACTAAAATGTTCTGTCTCTGGTACAGAGGTACACAGTTTGAGTCGTGAGCCTATTTGTGGATCTACGTATATTCCCTCTCCCTCTATCCAGGTTTACAACTTTGTCCTCAAAGAATTACTCATAGCCAACCAATTCTTCCTGCTTCTGCAGAATCTGGCTGATCAGCTCCTGTAACAATCACAAAGCCATCTGCCCTCTGCTGACTGGGCAGAGCCCCAAGATCAAAAAAAAAATTGAAAAAGCATTCTGATCAGCTTGTTTTCAAACTGCTAAATAAATAATTAACTGTATCACGCCAGGCTATTTTTTTTAAGTGCAAAGCTAATTTGGTTGGCCAAGGCCATGGGAGTTTGGGGGGGAAGGGCAAAATCCTACTTCAGCCTCCGCTGGCAGCATATTACTGTATTTTGGAGCAGCCATGCTTGCGATGGGATCCTGAGACCAAAAACGTTCCTGTCCTCATCTCTGGTGCACAAGGCAAAAAGCCCATAGGTACCACACTGGGGAGCCATTGCTAATGGGTTGAACACACGCAGTCCTGAAAAGTTAAGCCTTTGGGCTTTCCTCTGGGGTTTCAGAATGTGATAAAACCAAGGTTTTAAAATCTCAGCAGTAATTACTGAGCAGCATTGCCATAGCAGTGGGAGATACCTGGCTCTTCCTGCACTGGTAAAACATCTTCAGCTGATGTGGGGACAAGAGAGCCTCTTGGCACTCATCAAGTTAGCATGGTGGCAGAATGATCAGTCATGCAAATGTAAAAGCTTCCAGTCCAATTTCTCAGAAAGAACATGAAATGGTAAATCTGGCTGGCATTAATATTGCACATATGAGTAGAACAGAAGAAAAATGAAGGTCAAACTAGAGGTTACATTTTATGCAAAGGTCTCCCCTCAGGTGGTGAACGTTTTGACACAGCACATGGTTGTCTTCACCCAAGCATCTTGAGAAAGAACATGAAATGGTAAATCTGGCTGGCATTAATATTCCACATATGAGTAGAACAGAAGAAAAATGAAGGTCAAACTAGAGGTTACATTTTATGCAAAGGTCTCCCCTCAGGTGGTGAACGTTTTGACACAGCACATGGTTGTCTTCACCCAAGCATCTTGCATTTTCTTGTTGTTTAGTCGTTAAGTCGTGTCCGACTCTTCGTGACCCCATGGACCAGAGCACGCCAGGCCCTCCTGTCTTCCACTACCTCCTGAAGTTGGGTCAAATTCATGTTGGTCGCTTCAATGACACTGTCCAGCCATCTCATCCTCTGTCATCACCTTCTCCTCCTGCCTTCACACTTTCCCAACATCAGGGTCTTTTCCAGGGAATCTTCTCATGAAATGGCCAAAGTATTGGAGCCTCAGCTTGAGGATCTGTCCTTCCAGTGAGCGATCAGGGTTGATTTCCTTCAGAATTGATAGGTTTGTTCTCTTTGCAGTTCAGGGGACTCTCAAGAGCCTCCTCCAGCACCACAATTCAAAACCATCAATTCTTTGGCGGTCAGCCTTCTTTATGTTCCAGCTCTCACTTCCACACATCAATACTGGAAAAACCATCGCTTTGACTATGCGGACATTTGTTGGCCGTGATGTCTCAGGTTTTTAAGATGCTGTCTAGGTTTGTCATCACTTTCCTCCCAAGAAGCATGCGTCTTTTAATTTTGTGGCTTCTGTCACCATCTGCAGTGATCATGGAGCCCAAGAAGGTAAAATCTGTCACTGCCTCCATATCTTCCCCTTCTGTTTGCCAGGATGTGATGAGACCAGTGGCCATGATCTTAGTTTTTTTGATGTTGAGTTTCAGACCATTTTTTTTTGCTCTCTCCTCTTTCACCCTCATTAAGAGGTTCTTTAATTCCTCCTCACTTTCTGCCATCAGAGTGGTATCATCTGCATATTTAAGGTTGTTGCTATTTCTTCCGGCAATCTTAATTCTGATTTGGGATTCATCCAGTCCTGCCTTTTGTATGTGGTATTCTGCATATAAGTTAAATAAGCAGGGAAACAATATACAGCCTTGTCGTACTCCTTTCCCAATTTTGAACCAATCAGTGGTTCCATATCCAATTGTAACTGTTGTTTCCTGTCCCACATATATATTTCTCAGGAGATAGATAAGGTGGTCAGGCACTCCCATTTCTTTAAGGACTTGTCATAGTTTGCTGTGGTCCACACAGTCAAAGGCTTTTGCATAGTCAATGAAGCAGAAGTAGATGTTTTTCTAGAACTCTCTGGCTTTCTCCATAATCCAGCTCATGTTAGCAATTTGGTCTCTAATTCCTCTGCCCCTTCGAAATCCATTTTGTACTTCTGTGAGTTCTCAGTCCACATACTGCTGAAGCCTATCTTGTAGGATTTTGAGCATAACCTTGCTGTCGTGTGAAATGATCTTGCATTTAGTGTAGCTTTATTTGGTGATTGGTCACTGAGAGACAAATATGGGCTTAATTTGAAAGTCTGACTTTTAAGACCTTGTCTCTCATTAAATCCTATTGCAGGACAGAAAGCAAGTGAGACATAGGGACCAAGTGTTCCCTTTAACATTTATCTTGTCACTCACAAACAGAAAGTTCACAGGAAAGAAGACTTAAGGAAGGATCCAGACCTGACAGCGAACTGAAGAGAAAAAAAAGAGAGCACAAAAACAAGAAATGGACCAAGACCAGGCTAGTCAGAGGAAATTTCAGAGGACTTCACACAGGCTGAGCTATATCTTAGGGTGAAATTCAGGAACCTTAATGGGTTTAGTCAAGAGGCAAAGAAGATGCCTTTTGAATTCCCTAGGACTTGTTATGTACTGTAAAGCCTTTTCTGACTTGTGGCAACCCTATGACCGCCAAAACGTCCTGTCCTTAGCCTTGCTCAAGTCTTGCAAATTCAAGCCCAAGGCTTTCTTTATCAAGTTAATGCCTATCATGTTTGTCCTCCCTCTTTTCTTGTTACATTCAACTTATCCCAGCATTATCTTTTCTCAGTGACTCTTGTCTTTTCACAGTGTGTCCTGGGGCTTAGCTGTAAGCAAGCATACAAGGGACCAAGCAGTTCCTTCAATAATTACATTTTTACCAACAGAGGTATTATTCAACAAATGGATCCTTCTGTCCTGTCTTATCAGGCGTCCCCTATGATATTGTGTTTTTTTCTCTGATTTATTTTTTAATTTTATTTACTATGGCATACCAAACACAAGGTTTGTATAAACATTCTGGCCAACCAAGAGCTCACCTTTGTATTATAATGCCTTCTCAAGAAAACCATCTTTAAATATGACAACACCCCTTCAGTTGTATACAAATCGGCTCTCATGTTACCAAAATTAAGGAAGAAGGGACTCGTTGGGAAAGCAAAAATATTGCACCCATCTTAAACAAGCCAGATTTGTTTCAGTGCGAGTGTTTGTGGATCCAAAGAACGGCAAATACAATATATTTGCCCTCCACAGGTCTGAAGAAGTGGACTTTTTGCTTCGCCTTCCCTTGCCTTGCCCCGCCCTTTTGCCTGTCTGAGGGCCCACTAAACAGGGCTACACTTCTTTGGGAACAGGCTCGCCCTCTTCCCAAGGCTCAGCCGCGGCCGCCGGGGCGAACGACGGACCGAGAAGAAACCCTGCCGCTCACACGGCGGGCGCAAATCCCGGTGACAACCTTCCGAAAGCGGGCGAGAGGATTGGTCACGGGCCTAGTGACGATAGAGGAAGAGATACTCGCGATTGGCCGGGAAGGCGGCAGGAGACGGCCAATAGGGAGGCAGAGCGCCGGCCGCTGCAAAGAATGGAGTCGCAACCTCTTGAGTCGGACTCGGGC